TAAAGCCACGTTTAAAGTAGTCTTCAATGTACTCACAATACATTTCCATTTCAAGTGTACAGTAACCAGCCAAAGAGCTGCTTCTATGACTGTGTGTTTAAGTATCTCATCATTTTGACTTTCTATCTCATAATTTCGACTATGGGGATATTTTTATTATCAAGTCTAACTTTTAATTATTTATTTTTTTATTTTATTTTTTAAAACTTTTTTTAAATTTTTGCTGGCGGATTCGCGGGCCACATAAAATGACGTGGCGGGCCGGATTCCGGAGGCCCTAACCCTTGAGTTTGAGACCCCTGCCCTACAGTATAAGAAGATGCATTTTAACTTTCTGTTGACATTACAAACAATCGATAGGAAAATTCATCTTCTGGTTGCACAATAGAGTTTAAAGATGATTCATGAAAACAAAAGCATGTCAGGGACAAACTCTGACTTTAGGGTATCCCACTCACCCACTGATAACAACGTGACTTCCAATCGCTAAAGACCTCTAGCCATTAAAAAACAAAGATGCCTCCAGGAAAACTATTGCCCCTGCTTGTTGGTATTGAAATGCAATAATGTAATCTTACATATTTAAGGTTGGGCCAGCGGGGATAATCCCTCCGGTTAAAGGGATCTCATGTAAAACTAAGCTGGCCAGGCTCAGTAAACAACAACCCCCTGAAAAGTCATGTTTCTAGGGCTACTTCCTATAGGCCATCCATTTCCTTGTAAAATCAACGTGGTTGTTGCTGGGACAACATCTACAGTTGCACAGTAACAATGCATTATCAGCCAAATAATCCTCTGCCGCTCAGCTGTTTACTGTTTACCATGGAGGAAGTGGAAAAACACCAAGGGAGGGGAGCACCAGTAAAATAAGAAGGATTGGGGCCCACACAGCATAATGAAGATAGAGTGAGGGATGTTAGCATTGTCGTCACCTATCCATATGTTTCATATATGCAGTATATTGGGGCATGTTTCCTCTACAGACGGACTGACTCATTGCCGAGAAGCAACAAGAAGTAAACGAACAATGTGAGCAGTTACATTTCTTTGCATGACTGGCTTGCTTCCACTTTCATTCTCACCGCAAGACAAACATGTCCCTGGACTTGAAACTATAGATTACCAGTTAACTTTACAGTATGTAATACAGCATAAGGTTTATATCTTTAAAGGGATAGTTTTTGATGTATTGAAGTGGGGTTGTATGAGGTACTTGGTGTCTTACCCACAGCAGATAGTAGTCAGCATGCCCTCAGCTTGGAGAAAAGCAATCTACTCCTGTCAACTGGGGAAGCTGCAAAAATGTACTATAGGCTAAAAAATCAATATCAGTTTAACTGTTTGCTATACTTGGAACATTGTCTCTGCTTTACCTTGCCGCCACACAGCCCTTTCTGACTCTTCGCTGCTGACTCCTTTTGACAAAAACAGTATTTTTACCTGTTTTTGTCAAAGGAGTCCTATGATTAGATATATAGATACAGTTAGATGAACTACGTCCCAAATGGACCATTAGTTCTTTGTTGTTCTATGATAATGAATACATTATTTCACATGGTATATCATGTTTATTCATATATAGGGCTGGGCGATATGGCCACAATCTTCTATCACGATATAGGTCATTTCACATCTCGATAACAATATACATAAGGATATTGAATGTTCTTGGTAATTCAATAAATGATTAGTCAATATGAAAAACCACATGGGTTGGTAAACTCTTGTGTGAATTAAATGCATGACAATAAAACTATTGAGTATTTTGTTATTTGATCAAGAATTCTGCCAATTTTGGTTAGTATATGCTTGTTATTATCAATTTAGACGACGTAATTGTCTATCAGAATATCTGGATATATGATTTCATCACAATATGACACGAATGAAAGACGATCAATTATTATATTGAATTATCGCCCAGCCCTATTCATATGGGTTCACTGGACCCTAGAACACATTATGTTTGTTGTCCAAACATGAGAAATGAAATATTATTACATTAGCAGTAGTCATAGTAGGTTTTGATTTGCTGTTGTTGGATAACCCAAACGACCTTTTGTGTATATGTACCTTTAGCCTAATGAAATACTTTAGAGTGTCTCCTTTACCACAGCAATTTTGAAAACTTTAAACGAACACCTCTTTTAAGCAGTTAATAAAACTTGACTGTATAATCAACATTAACAGGTGGCAGCTTTCTCTGCACGGTTACTGGACAGCAGTACAGACTTAGACTATTGCATGGCAACAAGTGTTCATTTATACTAGACTATAACAAAACACAGAGGTAACATTAGCTAAATAGTATCACGTCTTCGGCCACATTACTTTGTGTCATTCTCTCTGACTCAGACAGCTTCAGTATAGCCGACCTCGGGTCTTTCCTCCACTCAGCCTTTTCGCCTCTCCTGGTGCCGTTATCTCTCTCCCTCCCCTTCTGTGCATGCCCTGCATGTGAGGTTTCCCTCCCTGGAAAAAAAAAAAGTGTGTCTGACAATATCTAATATCCCGGATGTGACGTGTGTCCAGTGTGAGATGAGTCGGCTAGGCTGCTATCCTGGAGTGCCGGGTCTTTAGGCTCTGAGCCCTGAGCCTGAGCCCAGACTGTCTGCAAATTAGAGAAATTAGCCAAGCCAGGCGCAGGCCAGTGAAAGAGCCCAAATCCTTACCCTCCCTCTCCACACACACACACACACACACACACACACACACACACTCCTACCATCACCATGAACCCCCACGCCACACCGGGCAGTAAAGCTCCACTCTTGCCATATGGCAGCCAATTTACTGTTTCACCAGCCAAGTTAGGAAAGAAAGGGGGAGAGGAGGCGGGGTATTTGTGACGGACACAAATATAGTTGGTGTTTAAATAAATATTTGGCTACAACCATGTAAAAATATATATTCTATTCTTTGCACTTTAACAATATTCGTGAACTACATTTTCCTTTGCTCTTTAACTATTACGTGAGTCCTGAAGTCAAACATCTTGTGGCTTTTGTGGTAAATGTTATATTATACAAAACAAAGAACAAGAAATTGGGAGTTGAGTCCAGCATTGCATCCGTCATTTTGACATTTTTAACATTTAGCCTGCGGGTTATGTAACATTTGATAAATTAATTTGAATGTGAATTACAGTAGCACAATCTAAATGGAGAAGTTACTTGTGTTCTTCACAGTTGTGTGTGCCATAGCTACAGGCGTTTTATTTGTAAAATGTCAAGACATCACAAGTGAAAAACTTGATTCCACATATGGTTTTTTATGTCAAGAAAAACTGATTTATTTCACCTGTGATACATTTGTATTTTTTGTGGCATTTCCGCAAATGAAAACATACTATATATACATTGTGCTCCCTTTAACAGGCAGCATCGCCAAATATAGAAGAGTCCACATGTTTCAACTGCTCTCTCCTGTCCTGGCTATCTATATGCAGGTCGCCAGGTAAGGTGACCCAGAGCTCTGTATTATTAGACTGTGGGTGTGTGTCTGAAAGTAAAGGGGATGCTCACTAGACACGTGTCAGTCCTGCGTGCGGGGATGACCTGCCCTACATCTGTACCTGTGAATGAGCGAACGCACCAACCAGCCCAGGGCACGTATCATTGCATAAGAAAAAGAAAACATTATTCTTATTTGTTTTACCTTTTTTTTCTACGTTTTCCATGATTCAAAATATAGAAAAAATATTGCGTTCAATGTGTGTTTGTATAAGTTCTGGATTAATTTTGTCATGTGTGTGTTGCAGGAGTCTTAAGACTCTTAGTTGAAGATGTTCTACAGTGAGATGTAGGTCAAGGAGATACAGTGGCAGCAGATTGCTCATTAAGTGCCAAACCAAGCAAAAGTCTATGAGTGTGTTTTTCAGTGGCAACAGGCCAGCCATCTGCTCTCCCTTTATTCATTCATTAACATGTCTTCTTTGTGTGTGCGTGGACGTGTGTGTGTTTGGTGTGTGTGTGTGTGTGTGTGTGTCTGTGGGTGTGTATCAATGTGTAAGCATTCATCACAACAGCCACTTGCTGGCCAAGTGTACAACGTCACTGATGTTGTTGTCCAAAGCCAACAGTTGTGTGTCAGATGGCACAATCACATGACCACAGTGGCTCGTGATTGGCCGGAGCGTTGAGCTAAAAAAGGTTGGCGCAATCCAGGCTCATGAGTTTCTGGCGATGGTGACAGAGTGGCCGCAGCAAGAGTAGATACCCAGAGGATCTAACTGACAGGCATCCCTGAAGAAAACACGGGAGAAAGAAGAGAGAGTATAAAGAGGAGGAAGCGGATACAAAACAGTCAAGGGATGACATAGCCAAAGACATGAGGATCCTACAGCTGAAGGAATGTGTGAAAGTAAGTCATGTCTCCTTTTTATTTTTATTTTTATTGCTGACAGGGATAACAAAATGGATCAATGATACAGAATGAGCAGAAAAGGACAAGATGACCTGTTGGCTTCATAAGAAATGACTGGTTAAACTGAATGAAGAGGGCTGCATGGGACGTTGGACAAGTGTCAATGAACTTTGGCTTTTCATGAATGGAATCGGCTGCCTGAACAATGAATGGCTGCCAGGAGGCATTTTAAATAATATAAAATATTGAACATTTTGCATGGATTTCAAACAGTTATAGTTGACTTTGGATACTGCGATAACTTGTATTCAACCTACTTGTGTCTGACTTATATAAATAAGTCACATAAAAAGGCTTAAACAGGCTTTACAAGAAGAGTCCTGCACTGCATATTTTCATTCTATCCAAACATGTACTTTGTCTCGAATTCAAATTGATAACAGTTGATTTCTGTGGCACTAAAATCTCTTTCTCTCTCTTTCTTTTCAAGATCTTGAGCTTTAACCAGCGTACCTAAGACAAGGGACCTACCCGGCCAAACCAAAGTGCTTCTATATCAAAGCAACCAAGACCAAACAGAGCCCAACTAAACTAAAGCTCTATAAAGCCTGAGTCCATCAGCTACTGTATATTCTATATTGTCAAGATGAAGCTGGAAAGTACACCTGGAGACATGAGTGGGTGGCGGGAGGTGGACTTTGTCCTCAACTGCACCTACATTGTGCCGGACCAGGTGTCGGACCCCAGTTTCAACCTGCCCAAAGCCATGACCTCCATCCCACGCAACCTCACCTTTGAACACAGCACAGATAATGAGGTAAGAGCAATTACAAGAGATACAGAATAGAGTACTCATAAATGTAATCACAATACAAAATCAAATCTCATAAAATCAATATACATCTATAGCATCATCTGGCAGCCAAGCAGCCCACTGATGCTATAGAATGAAGAAAAAGCTCATATTCTAATCTAACAAACCGCTACAACTTTAACCCTCCTTTGCGTTCGCTCAATCCCAGATGATGTTCTTCAATGGTCAGTTTTGTCAGATTAAAGTTTTCAAAATATGAATTCTGTGTTGCGTAACATTCTGTTGGGCCATCTGCATTGGGCTCCTTGGAACAAAAGATCTGCTGACTAATGAGCTCTTCGCACATACAGCACACACCACGCAAATGAGCATGTGGGGGCGTGGCCACTGGCAGCTTGAGGTCAGAGGCCTTTTTATGTCTCCTGGCCACCTTAACTTCCATTACGTCACCCCAATGTTTCGGCCATTGAGCAGCTTCTTTGCACTTCTGTCTCACGCATGCAGACACTCTCTTCCTCAGAATACACACATGTAGACATAGAGTAAGGTGCCAGGAATCAGCTTGGCTTCCACCACGTCATCCTTTCCTATTTACCTCCTTTGTCCTCCTCTCCCGCTCAGGTGAGTTAGGAGGAGCAGACGCAAGGCCCCTGAGCTATTTCCATCAGCTGACTGTTTGGCTTGCAGTGCAGTAGGATCCGGCATCTGCCCGGACGTGTCACTGTAAAGCACCACAATCATGTCTTCAAGCAGGGTTGTAAAAGCACAATTTGTCCTGTAACTGAAGAGAGAATGCTCTTCTTTAAAAAGGAAGACAGAGAGAGAGAGAGAGAGAGAGAGATGTCACACTCGCTTGTTTTGGCGAGAACACTGTGATGTTTGCGGTTGACTTCGCTGTCGCCTTCCTCTTTCTGTCCTGTCCCAGGCAACACTTTCTGCTGTCGTTCCCCTTCTCTAGTTCTCTCTGCCTACTTTCTGTGCAGCATTTGCTGCTGCAGGAAGAGAAAAGCATGCAAGCTAAGGTGATAACAATCACTTTAATTAAGGGCTGCTTTCAAACCCCCCCAGCCCTTGCTTACCGTCCAACACATCTTACAAACACTTCACACACTCGCACTCGATGCAGCCGAACGTGACAGCCGCCATTTGGTTTGTGCTCACATGCATCAGTACTACATCAAGCAATTAGGTGTAGGTGTGTGCATAATGTGAAAACAGGCACAGACTCACATGCTTGCTGGTAATCAGCTTTGCTTAAACTTGCCCTTGTTCATTGAGTGGTTTCCCTCACTGAAGACGGTTTCGTGTGAATCCTTCTCCTCGACTCCCTGAAGCTAAAGTTGGGAAATAAATTTTCTGCAGTGACCATGAAACACAGCCGCTACTTTGTGTGGACAGGCGCACGTACATGTTTGACCTTAAATGTAAGGCACAGTTCACGTGGCTATCAGGAAGGTTAGGAAGGGATTTTTTAAACACAGGTCTGATGCACTTGTTTCAGTTTGGCAGATGAGTGAAATTGAAAGAGTCTGTATTAAAACTGAGAATGTAGTCAACACATGTCATCATGCACATGCCCACGCTATCCATACTTCAGCACCTGCTTGGCTACCAGGAGGGATGCCATTCATCCTGCTATTCCGTAACGTTGCCACACTTTTTCTAAACCTCCTTTTTCTCATCCCGAAGCGTGCCAGGAAATGCAAAGAAAGGTGGAGGGGGCACGTGGCAGATGGGGTTGTTAGCCAGTGAGCTAGGAGAGAGGGCAGCACAGGGGATGGATTGGGGGGGGGGGGTCGGGGGGGGGGGGGGGGATTTAGGTTAAAACCAGATGATTAACTTTCGTTGGGGACAGGCAGCCAGCCAGGCAGCTCGTGCGTCCGCCCAGGCCTCAACCTGGCAGGCCACAAGCTATTTTGAGAGGGTTAAGAAAAGACAAGGGATTGGGGGAAGGCAGGAGAAAAGGAGGGCGTTCAGAAGTGTGATAGAGCGGGTCCATTTAAGAACGCTCATCCTCCTTTCTTCCGTTCTTCAACACGCATCCCCCGCCACACCCCTCACCCCAAACCTCCCTCTCTCTCCTATCTTCCCAACCTGGCTGAACTGAGCGGTTAAGCTGCAGCGGCGGCCACAGCGACTCGTTAGTCACGCAACGCCAGCAAAGCACAATGTCCCTGTCACACTGGTTCATCGCATCCAGGAATCACCTCACTCGCCTCCATGGCCGCTCGACCCCCCCAAACACACGCACACACACACACACACACACACACACACACACACACACACATACATACACTCTTGCCGCCCTCCGTGACCTGTTGTTCTTCTAATGAACTGCGTTTACATAATTTGCAAAAGCCGACTCCTTCCATCGTTGTCTGATAAACAATTGCTAGGTGTTCAGGTGTTTGCCATTTTTGTTTGCTCAGGTTTGACCTTTATACAGGACAGCGTGAAAATCCTTTTGAGGGTCAGTTTGAATTACAATGCCTTAGTGGTAAGAAGAAAGAGTGTGTTTATTTATGGAAGGGGGGGGCGGTTAAAGGCCGGGGGGGTATTTAAGGATTGAATACAAAGCTCCTCAAGACACGGAGACTGTGCGTACGCCGCAGATGCTGCTGCCGGATGGCTTGTCTGTGTTTGGGTTCGTTTTGAGAGGGGTTGACCCCAAGCCTGTCCACTTTCTATGAAAGTGTGAATCATGAAGCTGTTCTGCACAACAAAGAGGACACTGACATATCCTCTTCGTTCTCGCTTTAGATTTCTTAGTTTTGCCAGCACACGGTTATCTTCTCCAACTCCCCTCAAAAGGTCAGAAATGACTCAATCACCTGCAGAACAGGACAGGTTTTGCTCTTAACACAAAAAAATGGGCTTCCTCAGGCACATTTTCTTTTTTCAAGGCTTTGTTTGGGCATGCTTCGAAACACCTATTCCAGAGTGTCCTACGATAGGCAAAGCTGTGACTAATTGTACACATTATATAATCAGGCCTTTTAGGTTTTGATGCTACCGGTCTAACGAGCAAGCAGAGTCAATATTATTACCTTTAATTGCTTCATATGCTTTCGTCTTTGTGGTTTTACAATCAAAAGTCTAGTATTGTCCTTTATTACCGCTAAAACACCTGACAAATGAGAGCTCAGCATTCACGAGGTTCACAAGACAAACAGGTGACAGGGCTTGCTCTCTCTGGAGTTTCTGACGACCGCAGGTCAGAGATCAGTGGAGTAGGTCGGAGAAAGTGTAATTCTCTTCATTCGATTAGCTAGTTAGTGTCGAAAGTGTCTCACCTTGTGGGTTTTAACCTGGATGAAGAGCTATCTGGGTCAACATGACGAAGCCACCACGATTGCAGCTCAGGCCAACGACCTGCTGGACACAAACAATGGAGGAACAAGCGTATTGCGCTATTCAATATGTAGATTTAAACGTGTTGATGTGTAATATTCCTCACAAGAGGGGAAAGATGGGAAATGGATGAATCTAATGATGTATTTGGTCTGTGTTCCAGGTGATGGGCGTGTTCAGCAAAGAGTACATTCCTCAGGGGACTCGCTTTGGCCCTCTTCAAGGAGTCATCTACACCAAAGACAACGTTCCCAAACAGGCCAACAGGAAATACTTCTGGCGGGTAAGGGAAACGCGCACGGACATGAAAATATATATACAATATATACGCAATCTCTATACATAATCACATTTATGCATCAATACTGCCACCCAGCTCAGTGCGATACTAGTAAAACGTGAGAAAGTCTCAAATCTGGAGTAAGAAAATGACCCTGGGATCAGTTGAGGAGCAACTGGGGACAAAGAAGAAAAAAAAGAGAGACATCCGTTTTTCAGAAGTTTCCCATCAAGTCCAGATCCACACGTCAATAAGGGGAAGATAATGCTTTCACGCACTCCACTGCCGTACAGGGATTTTGGTCAAACTTTCAGAGGAAGTTAATGTCGCTAGCACGTAAGAAAGGGTTCAATCTCACACAGTCATCAAAGTCTTACCGTCACATACACAAAGGAAGGGACTATTGTTCAACATACCCGGACACACATTCAGACTACCCTCGCTCCCCCCTTTTAGTCTTCAAGTCTCTTGTTTATTTTCTCTCTCTCTCTCTCATCCAGATACAGCTTATGTCACTCAGGAAATTTTCTATTGTTGCTGAGTCAAGTCCCATTAGGAGTTTTTTCTGCCATCGTACGTATTTCTTTTCCGGCTGTATTTCCTGTAAACCTGTGCAAGGGGCGTTGCAGCGGTGCAATAGTGAAAGTGTGACGTTCTCTGGGAGCGATTATGTTTCGACCTCATGACACAGGTGGAGGGACGTGCTGCCAAAGGCATGCCTGCGATTGCGTTTGGCTGCCTGACCGACAGGTGCTGGCAAACAGCCACCAATTACAACTTCTTTGTTTTCATAAGCAAAGGCATACTTTTTTGATCATAGTTAAGTGTTCCACTTGCACTAAACTAAATTACAACACAGGAACAAGAATAATATTCTCCAAAAAAGAAGTGAGAAAGAGAAAAGGAGGAAAGAGAGGAAATGAGAGAGACAGCCACTGCGGTGAGTGATCGACCACGCCTCCATGCCTCACCGCCTACTAAGTAGGCGGTGAGGCATGTATCCTCATAAGTATACGCACCGACACAAATACACACTCAGGACACACAGAGCAGAGCTGTTGGGTGCAGCAGGCCAAAAGAGCAACAATATACTGTGACTGACAGCTGAAGGATATTTAACTGTACATGGCAGAGGTGATCATTCTGACTGTTTCCTTGATATTCTTGATTTATTTAAATTCTGTAGTTTAAAAAAAAATGTGATGAAGATGAGGATTTTATGTGGATTTTAATCAGCTTTTGTCAAATTTCAAAAATTCAAGCATCGCATGCTGCAATGTCTTTATCAATGGTGGATGTGGCCACTGCCATGTGAACAACAGATGGTCAAGCAATATAATTAATGGAGCTATTTATAATATTAAATGTGAAAGGTGAAATGTGAAATTTAATATTTTAAGGACTACACACAAATCAGTTGCTTCAAGTATGGACATGTTTTAATCCCATCATCTCTCTATTTCTTGTCCTGCAGATTTACAGCAGTGGGCAGCTCCAAAACTTCATTGATGGCCATGACGTCCACAGGAGCAACTGGATGCGTTACGTCAACCCGGCCCGCTCTCTGGCCGAACAGAACCTGGTGGCGTGCCAGAACGGCCGGGACATCTACTTCTACACCATCCGACCGGTGGAGCCCAACCAGGAGGTGCTGGTGTGGTACAGCCAGGAGTTTGCCCAGAGGCTCTGCGGCCAGCAAGTTGACATCAAACAGAGTGAGTGCAGCAGGAGGGGAAGGCGTTGCTAGTTTTGTATCAGGATGTGGTGGTCTTTTTTCCCCGGCAAGATTTAACAAATATCTTGAGGCAGAGGAAGGAATGATTTAGAGGTAACGCAGAACAATGCCACACTAGATCTGACAAAGTGGCAGATTTACATCTGTGGCCATGACTAAACACATAGGACAAAGTCTGCGTCAGGAGATGATATCTATTATCAGCAAAATGATACGTCCTCAAGATGAATAAAGACACGTTTATTCTTCCTTCTTGTGAATAAGACCTGATGTTATCTTTTACCAACAGTAGAGATAGTTGGTTTGATGCTACTTCTTCCTGTCTGGCTGACTGTAGAGAGGCAAATATCTATGCAAGATCATGGGGGAATACACGTAGACCAAACAAATCTCCGTAGATGTGGTGAATGACGTGAGATTTTAAGGCGAGAGGAGAAATCTAAGAGGAATAATGCCTGGTCAAAGTATCTTTGTGAGTCATATGTTTGCAGCCATTGTTAGAACGGCAAGTCATCATCCAAACGATTGTCTGTTGCCACTAAGTCCGATGACTCATACCAACTGGATACACCAGATGGGTCACCATTCACCCTGGTGACTAATTCTAAGGTGGTATCATTACGTTTTATCAACGTTTAGGATCTTTAAAGCTTTAGCGTTCCTTTCAAGTTCAGGTATGCTCATTGTTTGCCTCCCGGGGTTGGATTTTCTGATACATCTATGTCTACGTCTCCTTTGGCAACTCAGTTACTGGCTGTTGAAGCTTCGGGTAGCAGCGCTAGTATGCACAAAGCCAGAAAAACTAAAAACTTAATTTTAATATTCAGCTAGAGGAAAAAGGAAACCAGTGGCTGCATTTCAAATCGCATGTAGAAATGTACTACATTATCGTGTGATTTAAAGCTACATTTGGTAACTTAAATAACAATAATCTTTTGTCATTTTTTTCTCACTGTCACTGGATCCTGACAGTGGTACATAAGAGAAATAATCTATGAAAAAAAAAATATGGTTTCTCTGCCTCCTTTAGTGCCCCTAATGGCATTTGCAATATTGTATATATTAATACTATTCAAACAGCGTTGAGGAGCCTCTAATGTCAATCGGTGCTGGTTAAGCTCGTAATTGGTTGTTTTGTGGAATCTTGCAACTGCCATTAGGGACATTAAAAGGAAACGGAGGAACTTGCTTTTTTTCACAGATTACGGTATAGTGACAGTTTGAGCAAATATGACAAAAAGTAGTTTTTATTAAAGTTACCAACTGTAGCTATAAAGTACAAATCAATCGTAGTTGATGAGCTAAACACTGGTACAGCCTTTTAAATGACCCTGTGTGAATTTTCACCTACTTAACACGGTACAATAACATGACGCATGAAAAAACAGTCGACATGCAGTACTGGGGACAAATTCTCAAAAGAGAATAAAAAGAGAAGGGAAAAAGGAAGAGCCGTTTCACATTATCTTGTGGCGAGTACGACAGCTATACCTAGAAAAGGTTTCGCAAATGAAACTCTTGACATTACACATGGACTCCCACACACTTTACCACTTAACTTATTCTCACACATCGAAATCACTACTGCGATTGACAAACAGAAACCTATACCTTATGATTTACACGTCAAGTCAAACTGAAACTACTATCATTTACCATAAGAGGGAGTGCCGTTTGTGCGTAATGGGAGTGTGAGTGTGTGAGGCACTTTAATTTGAACCAGATATTATAATGAGCTTTTTTCCCCTGTTTGATGCTGTTATTCACACATCAAACTCTGCGACAATACTCAATTTTGATTTAATTTATTTACAGAATACATGAGTTCGGATGAAGACCAAGAGCCGGAGTATGCCAAACAGCACCTACCTCAGCAGACATGGCTTACGGACAGAACAAAAGAGGAGGTGAAAGAAGAGAGGGATGAAGATGGAGAGGAGAATATCGACGTGGAGATTTTGGAGAGAGACACACCGCCTGACACGCCTGATGACCAGATCATGGACTTCAGCAAAAAGGTTGAGAAGGAGGAGAGCGATAGAGATCCAGAAGACCGGGGGAATGTTCCTTCCCCTAAGCCCGAACACAGAGAGCCTAGTCTGGGCTTAAATCACCGGTACTTACCGGATACCCATCCTCCGCTCCCATCACAGCACCGAAATCTCCCTCTTCACCTCCACGGCCTCTACAGGGAAGGCGTTTCATCCTACCCCATTTACCCCCAATCCAGACCCCTCCAGCCCAATTACCCGCTCCTTCCTCCCTACGGCCCGCACTATCCTCGCCTCCTCCTCCCCTCATACTCCCCTCCCTTTCCTGGTATGCTGCCCTCAAGAGGATCCCTCCGATACAGCAGCTACCTGGGCACCGACGGCCTCCCGTATCCACCCATCGGCCCACCTAATCTGCTGCCAGTGTCCCTCCCCTACCCTCCGTCTTTACAGGGAGGTCTGAAAGAACTCAAAGCAAACGTGTCGCCACCACGAGGCGCACCAGCCACCCCGGAGCTCTCCCCTCTCCCCAAGCCCGACAGTCAGCACCATTCTGCCGAGCAGTCTCCCTCTGGTTTTGAGGAAGCCATGAATCTAAGCCTGGCTACGATCAGAAGCAAAACAGCGACACGCAACGGCCCCGGCCACAAATCGCTGCCCTACCCACTGCAGAAGCAGAACGGAAAGATCAAGTATGAATGTAATATCTGCTCGAAGACTTTCGGACAGCTGTCAAACCTCAAGGTAATGGCTTCAATTCCTCTATCTTGCGCTTGAAAATTGTATTCATTGTGTTCCAATTTTTCCACACCGGTTGACACCAGTGCTCATGATTTTTGTTTTTGTATGATCTTTGTAATTGTAGGTCCATCTTCGAGTGCACAGTGGCGAGAGACCGTTCCAGTGTAACCTATGTAAAAAGAGCTTCACTCAGCTGGCCCACCTCCAGAAACATCACCTGGTCCACACGGGGGAGAAGCCACATGAATGTCAGGTATGTTGAGAATCACAATCACAAGTGTGGGTCCTCTTCTCGCACTACACGCTTCTTACGAGCCGATCTGAACATGATTGACGCAGATGTCAAACCGAGAGTGTGTAAGACACAAATAGAAACACACTGTAAACACAATACACCCAAATGCTCTCTGACTCACATACCTTCCTGGTAAGGCAGTGTCTGTTTAGTGTTCAGTCAGTCATTACCCATTTGGTCATGTAATTGTTGACTAGTGTGACTCCGTGGGTGTGAGTGTTGAGAGTGAGGACAGAACAAAGAAAGAAATGTTGTTTTATGGTACCCCACAAAACTGGAATAACATGGTCAACCCTTATATTATACAAGATTACAAGATCAAGATTACATCATACTGTGTTGCTCAGTTTTTTCCAGAATAATCCCAAACACAATCCAAACATGTTAATAATCAGCCAAGTGAATGTTGCTCACAGAAGCCTTAACCTTTCCCTTCATGCTTTCCAGGTGTGTCACAAACGCTTCAGTAGCACCAGCAACTTGAAAACACACCTCCGCCTCCACTCCGGGGAGAAACCCTACCAGTGCAAGCTGTGCAACACCAAGTTCACCCAGTACATACACCTCAAACTGCACCGCCGCCTCCACAGCAGCCGCGACCGCCCCTACCGCTGCCAGCTATGCGCCCAGGCCTTCTTCCACCGCTTCTCCCTCGGCATCCACCAGTGCAGCTGCTGCCTGGCAAACACCAACACGTCCGTCAACGTACACATGAAACAGATGGTGGAGCGGTTCGACGCCAGCCATGAGGCTGACATGCTCACAGAGGTGGCGTCGGCACCGCAGGTGGAGGAGGCGGTGGAGCGTTGGTTGGAGCGCACCTTGGAGGGCGAGGGAAAGGAGTACCAGAAGGAGGCAACCCTACTGCTGAAAGCACTGATGGCGGCTATTAACTCGCCAGCTATGCCCATGGCCCAATCAGCAACACCCTCGTCACATCACATCCCTCCACTGGCCTATCAGGAGAGGGCCAGCGTTGTTCACCTCCACCAACGGCCAACAGTGAAGACAGAAGGACAGTGAGAAGGAATGGAGGGAGGGAGGAATTTGAAAAGGACATACAGCATACCAGAAACCAAGAAAACAGACGTTTCGCCAAATAAAACTCCCTAAATAGTCCATGAAAGGCATTAAAGGGAAACTTTTTATAATCAAATGAGCGCAGCACCAAAACAAGAGCATTCCAAAGACTGGGCGAGGGTATTCAGTGATTGTACTTCCTCCCAAAACTCAGTTTAAAAAATGAAAATGGAGGACGATAGTGTCAAACTGTGAAGTATTGAAAACTCTTTTCACTCAGGTAGAGAATTGTTTGCTTTTATTGTGCTTTAACTTATTATTTTTCTTAAAATTTAAGTCATCTTTATTTATTTAGTTGTAAAATAGTTTTTTTCTGTTAGTGTTTTTTTTTCTGTGTGTTGACACTTTCAGAGATGTGATCTGTTAGGAAAACCACAAATAGACTCAGGAACAATGATGCGGCACAAACCCGGGATTGAGTCTTCACTTGTTAAATTGTGCAGTGTTTTGCTTTGTGTGACAGCGTGTTTGAGCTGCTGGGTGCATGCGTACAACGAGTGGAAGTTTATACGAACGACAGGGCACAGTGATGATGGCACAAACCACATTCCTGCTCTTTAACTGTTTGCAACTATTTTATTTATTTATGATTTTAAAAAGGGAAAAGAAATCAGGTCTCTTTAAATTGTGTGATAATAAGCAATTGCCAAAACTACAATCAAAGAACATGAATGTGTAGTAATGTTTTTTGGATCATTATTCAACTTAGTGAAGAAAGGGGTTAAGAAAAAAAGCATAACCTTGACTTTTTTCTTAATTATTTAGCAACTTCTCGCAGGTAATTTAGATATCAATGTATCAAAGACACACTGTGCTGAACAAAACTAAATACCACCAAAAGAAACTAAACAACAAATCCAATGTGATCACAGTATCACAATGAAATATGTACACAAAGTCCTTTGAAAATGTCTTTTAGTCTTTCTTATTGCAACGTTTTTATGTCAGCACTGACAAATTAAGTGGATCGCTGTGTAGCTTTTACTGGATTCAAATGTTTCAGATATTTCCTATGTACAAAGCTTTACTGTGAACGTTTTGGCCGACGAAAACGAGCAACACGGGCACAATTTTCTAACATTGTTCATATTTTTCTCACTTGGCACTGGACAAAAATGCCAAGATCTGTGTGCTTTTGGTTGTTCCCCAAAACCAGCAGGTACTGTTCTTAAGAATTGTACTACTGAGTCAGTGATGTACTTCTTTTATGATTTTGGTAGTGTTTTTTTTACTTTGTATATGTTTGTCTATGTAGTTTATTTTTGCAAACATGATATGAGATGTTAAGAATTTATATGTGAGAGACTATTTTGATGATACTTTTATATTTACATCATGTAGCATATTAAAGATATTGTTTCTATACATCCTGTATTTTACTTGTGTTTTCATACCGGTGTAAGATTTGATTAGAGGATGAAATATAGCAACTGGGATGGCAGAAAAGAAATCATCAACCCTCCGCAACACAAGTCAAAATTAAATGACATTATTAAATACATTATTTATCCATGCCCAGAACGACACACTAAAGATTTTTTTTTTTTTAATCTGCTGCCTCCATCAGCATTATTTAAAAAACTGTTACTGTTACTGTTATGATGTGACAATGCAATGGTTAAGGCTTGGTTAGGTTTAGGCACAAAAACGACTTGGTATGGTTCCAGATAAAATGATGGTAGAGTTTAAATCAAGTACTTTGTTAAAGGGGCATTGTGTAATGTCTGGCCACAACCTCCAAAGAAATGGGGGACAGCATTTCACCTACTGGATCAATACAATCTACACTTACAGTCATCAGTTATAAAAAAAAATAGAAGCCTACTCCTTACATGTATAGTGTCAGCCTATAGTTTAAAAATGATGAGTCATGTTCTTGTTTCTACCACTTTGGATTTTATCCAATGAACAAACTAGCAAAACACACACGGATCCTGTACCTCCAACGGGATTACCACCCCTCGAGGCAGCTCTACTGGACGTTATGGAGACTCTCTATCGCCTCTTGAGGTACAAGTGGTATTGCAAGATAGAACAGACCGTGGCTAGCTGCTTAGCGCACATTTCATTTCATTAGATATCTCTGCAAAACAAGACATGTGTTATGTCTTTGACATAACATCAACACTGTAACTGTAAACTTAGTTCATCGTTTATATTTTAAACAAAAAATCTGGCCAGATCTTACACACTGCCCCTTTAAGGTTAGGAAAACATCGTGCTTTGGGTTAAAATTAGGGATGCACTTATACCAATACTGATATTGGTCCAATAGCTAGATCAGGTATCGGATACCATTATCTCAATAAATCACAATTCAGTACAGGTATATCTACTGTATGTATTTAGACGTTACACTTTGTTTTACAAAATTAGGAAACAATGTTTAAGTTGAGCCTGTTGGTGCCTTACAATTAAGAGAATGATTCCAATCGCTTCTACACAGTGAGGCATACAGTTTATTAATTAAACACTGGTATCAGATCGGTACCTGGTATTGGGAAGGCATAGTAGCTATTGGCGGCCACTAAATGTGACTTGAAATGCATGCATTTTAATTATTCCAATACTTTCACTTTCAATAACGGCTACTGTGTCAAACTGCGCTGTCCAAACAAGCATCTGTCAGGTCAGGAGTTTCACGTTGTAGAAAACTACTGGTTGCATGGCAGCTAGTAGCACCTCACAAGCGTCGTACGAATTACTGTGCGTCAACGATGATAGTGCCGTCAGCTAAAGTGAGCAATGCTGGACAACTCTGCAGTTTGATGTGGAAGTCAGATGTGTGCATTTCTTCTTGCGTGGCTCTCAATCATATGCTGACTCCCTAAATTGTCACTGAGTCATCAAAACTTTGAGAACCACCGTGTTAAAATCCAGGTTGTAAAAGCCTTGTCTCTTCTTTATCTTCTTTTTTAAATTCTTCTTATCTGGTAAATTGATATGAGACTATTACCGACATCTCATAACAAAGTAGCCAGATATTCACGCATGTGGAAATTCTAACAAAACGCTCTTTCCATGAACACAATAACTAGTTACTGGACCTGTGTATTGTAGGCAGGAACACAATGCATACGCCCTTGCGACATCCTGCTTACTACCCTTCTCTTGCTGGTAATAAACTCTCGGAAGTCCCACGCTACATTCCCCTGATTTGCTCACTTTTCAGGCCCCTTTCCTTGAAAATACAGGAAATGAAACTAGCCGGTCACCAATGAAACTCAGAAAAACACTGCTTATGTCACATCATTTTTTTATTTCACAAAATCAATGAGTGTGACAATAGATACTCCTGGTTCACCGTGGTCACTTACATGTCAAGTAACTTTGCAGTGTTTAACCAATGCCGTCATTACGTACAGCAGGTGCTGGGTTGTATCACCTGTTTTGATTCTTTAACACTTCAGCTTCAGATTTGAGTTTGATTAAAAGACATCCATCGGAAGAACTGCTCTGTGGTCAGAAATCCTATTCGCTCAAAGTAACGGATTATTGCCTCGAGAGCACCTTCTTCTCAGACCCGACATTTGTAGATTTTAAACCTGAATCTTATCCTTTGCGTTTCTCAACAACAGTGTGACGGATTTACGGGCACAGCAGGCACCTAAATGAACATGAAACCCCAAAAGATGATTCTAACTTAATCATTGTCATCCCATGACAGTGAGACACACTTTCAATCTACAAAATCTGTAGCAAAGTTACTGTCAGCAAGTTTGCTCTTTACAGTAATTCTCTCGCAGTCTCCCTCTCTCTCTCCTTGTCTTAACCACTTTCCTTTTGCCGACAACTTCTCATTCTGCAGTGTTTCCTTTTGTGAGCTGTGTGGGGGAGAACCCCACAGCACACACCTACGCGCCTCTGACCAGAATAAAGGCACCTCAGACCTTTCAAATGCACAGTCAAACTGCAGTGGTGACAGGAAATCCTCAACGTCTGGCAGGCAGCCAGTTGCACTGCCAGCTACACGTTCACTCTATTGCGCAATCAAGCAATGGAAGCAGAAGCCGTGGTGAGCGTGAGAGACACTGTCAAATACTTGTGTGCTGTTCTGATAAAGTGTAGGAGAGAACAGAAGAAAAACTCAAACTGCAGACAGCCTCGTATAAGCACTTGCTCGTAATAATCCACTCAGCGGAGAGACTGATGTGAATTAGCAAAAAAAGGCTAATAGAAAAGATCATAATTAGACAAAACCAAATAAATTAGAAACACTGTCAGTAATTAAACAGCATGGCCATTGGAAGAACTGTTGTTGAGAGGACAGGGCTAATGCGAAGCAGACATCCTGTTTTTAATTTCTTCCTCTTATTCTTCGAAAACAGACAGCCTATAGTTCCTCTCTGCAGTAATTCACGCAGACCCTGGGAATCACAACAGGACATCCTTTAACTTGCCACATAGGTAGGTTGACAGGCAAAAATTAAAGAAACACACCAAACACACCACACCAAAAAACATACACACACACACACGCTGGTGTAATGCTGGAGCATGTCTCATTATTGTGACAGTTAATCAAGTAAATGTAAAAACATGTTGTGAGTAATCATACACCAGCAACTCGGTGAAATATCTTCAAAATGTATAGAAATTTCAATTCAACCTTTTTAAATGCAACAGTATTGACCAATGTTTAGCCAAAACTTGAACAGGAATTAACATTCCGCTATACAACGTGTACAGTGTATAAACATAGAATTGAATCGAATGGCTCGGCCCCATTTTTACAGATACCTGAAGCAGCTATTTGAGTCAGTCTCGGCACAATATCCAATATCAGGATTGGTATCGATGCGTCACTTTGTGGAACATTGTAAAACACACTTCATTACAACTCACCAGAAACAAATTAAGAATTTTTAATAGTGTACTATTACACTACATGTATTGAATTACCTAAATGAAAAAATAAAATCAGCTGTGAGCTTTTAAAACAATGTCCTATAGGCCACAAGCTGCTGGGCCCCTACCAACCCCTGACTCCCCATTAACTGAGCATTGTGTCCCGTATTGTTATGCTGGCATTTTGCATGTTCCCTCGGTTTTGCTGCTTGGTAATGTGATTATACGCAAGTAAATTCAGGAATGTGTGCCAGAGAATGATTGAATATATACTTTACGTGTCTTAAACTGACCAAATGTGGTGATATAAACCAACATTTATTACCTTGACATGGTAAACCTTTAGACCCATTTAGCTGATTGCTGTGGCATCACCACCTCATGCTGTTACTCAGAGCCCTACACCCATGTATATGGCCTATACTGCTGACTAAAAAAAACAGTTACAAAGGAAAGTCAAACACTGAGGTCAAACTGAAACTAATGATGAAGGGATGAACCCTGATGATACGGATTAAAGGTGTTCACCTCTTGTCTTGTAAACATCAATCACTGACTATTAGTAACTCAAACCAAAATTGAACTTTGGTATCAGAAAAAAGTATCTTGTCACGCACAATGCACCCTGATAAAACACGTACGCACCTCTGCCATCTGACATTATCTTTGGCATCTTTCTCTTGAAGTAAAACAGAAAGTCAGTCATGTGACACTCAAGAGTTACAGCTGCCAGATGTTAGGTATTTGGTGATTATCTTCCAAGTAACTAAGTGGACTAGTCAACTGACAAAACGACTGCTGCAGTACCGGTTTATTCACTTGATTTATTGCAAGAGGACCATGTATTAAATGGAAGTTTTTTATAAATGTTTTTATCTTTTCTATAGAATTATTTTACTAAACCACTATCATCTCATCATGTAGTTTGTATGGATGTACACAATTGAAAACATTTGAAATTTAAATAATTACTTGTACTTTCTTTTAAAATCCCGTCCTCCTTTTAATTTTAGATATATTGTAAATTCCTAACTCTTTAAAAAAAAAAAAGGTTATGGGTGGGTGTTGCCACATTAAAAAGCAGCAAGAGTGTGAAATGTATGTGAAGCGTTTGCTGGTAGTTGTTAAAGAGATGTAGGTGTGAGTTCAAATGTGATGCAGAACTAGACCATACACGAGCAGAGGGTTACTTATACTGTACGTGGCCGATAGACATGACACATATGTTCTCTGTACAATGTGTCTCTATTTCGAAACTTGTCAAAGACATAGCAGTCCTGAGTTGCATCATCATCATGCAGTGTGTGGATCAGATTTATCAGATTTATGTCCAAAAAAAAGATGTGGTATGCTGCATATGTGATGCATCTTCTGACTATTGTTGCAAGCAGGCTGGAACACAATAACAGCACAGCACCTCAGGTTAGTGTTATCACATCGTGTACATTTGCTTATTTATGGTATTGAAAAAAACCTGACATAAGTGACTGTGTGTTAATGTTGACTGTTAATAATCATATACGCATGAATCCAGCCGCGGATGTGTACATGTGCAGAGATCTGTCTTTCTAAATGTATAATTTTTAGATTTTGTTGACCATTCATTGCACATGAGCTAATTCAGTGTCACTGGAGGTTGCTGCAGGGGAATTCCAGCACAATGAGGGATACTATGATTTCACTTTAATGACCCTTACTATAAGAGATAATGTAGGATTAGTTTTCAGTCTCTTATCTCGGTGTGAACAGCAGTGCAACCAACGTGGGCGGTTACTGCTACAATAAAGCAATATAAGGCTACTTAAAATATTGACAGTAATTGGCAGTACTTTACGAAGAGGGCAAACAACTCATTGCGTCAGTATGTTCATGTCCTTATCAAACAAGTAGCACACACTGGAACTTACTTTTACTTGTGACGCAGCAGGTTGCCGTCTTTGGTTGGATTCAGCACGCTGGTAGCGCCATCGTGAGGCGGAGTAAGCCCCATGCACATAAACGTGTGCACAGGCCTGTAGTTCTGTGGCCTTTCATCAGATCCGTGATCAGGTTACGAATTGCATAGCGACCGCAAGATGTCACCGTTCATCCGCTGTGATTGCACACTGTGTGTGGAGGTACACATAATGAGGAGATACCAAATCTGAAAATTGCTCTGTGTAAATGCTTATTACAATAAAATGATGTATCCAATCCATTATCATTATTGTCACAGACACAGCCTGGCTGGAGCGGGCTGGAATCATACCATCGCAATATGATGTTTGATATTATTATAATTATTATTATTATTATGGGTAACACTTTATAATAACTACACACTATGAAGCATTAGTATGAGTAAACACTTAATTCATCATTGATAAAGCATTGTTCCTACATTAACACTCATTAATATACAATTTACAACAACAGTTGTAAATGTTTTATTCTTGATTAATAAGCTCGTCTATTATGCGTTTCGTGATTGTGTTTTCATACTTTATAAATGATGGATTCCCCATTTGTAAATTAAGTATTAAAGATATTA